TTTAAGGGCACATAACCATTATAAACTCTATTTTCTCCCTCATAAGCATTATTTACTCTTAGTTCTACAGGTGAACATATATTTAGTGCTCACCACCTGCTATTTCAATGTCTTACCAGTCATTTTGGTTGTCTGAAGTACGTTCTCTAGAAGATACCTCAGAAAGGTCTCATGGGAATATTCCCTGTGTTCTTCCACGTTCATAACGTCTTGTCTGTGGCCAGTTTGGTTAGATGTAAAACCCTTAGCTCATATTTTCTTTCTTTGGGTATCTTAGATATGTTACCACTGTCTTTGGACATAAAACAGTGTCACCAACTATGTCTCAGTGTTGATCTTCAGTGTTGATTTCCCCAGGTATGAGTGTGCCCGTTTTATATGTAGTCTTTTATTCCAGAAAATTTTAATTATAGTTTTTTTAAAGTGTATTCTTCTCCATTGCTTTTGTTTTTTCTTTGGACATCTATAATAAATCTTTCGATCTTCTCTGCCTATCTTCCATATTGGTCACTTTTTCTTTCTTTCTTTCTTTTTTTTTTTTTTTTTTTTTAAGATGGAGTCCTGATCTGTAGCCTAGGCTGGAGTGCAGTGGTGCGATCTCAGCTCACTGCAACCTCTGTCTCCCGGGTTCAAGTTATTCTCCTGCCTCAGCCCCCCAAGTAGCTGGGATTACAGGCGCCTGCCACCACACCTAGCTAATTTTTGTATTTTTAGTAGAGACGGGTTTTCGTCATGTTGGCCAGGCTGGTCTTGAACTCCTGACCTCAGTTGATCCACCCTCCTCAGTCACCCAAAGTGCTGGGATTACAGGTGTGAGTCACTGCGCCTGGCCCATATTGGTCGCTTTTTCTTAAGTTCTTTGATTTCTCTTTATTCATTCTGGAATTTAATCTGTTTTCCTCCTTTTTCACTTTGTATTCCCTTAAAGTATTATCTATTGTGCTTATTCACGCTAATATCCCTTCTATTATAATTCAGCCTTCATTTGTGAAATGAGTTTTCTCTTTTCTTTCCAATTCTTTCCTGAGTACTATTACCTAATTTCTGCCTTATAATTCTGATTAGTGATTTTCTTTCATATCCTGTACCATTTTTTAATTTTATCTCATTTTAAAACATTAAGTTATGGCTTTTATCTGGGCATGACTGTCTGGAATGCTTTCATTACCATTAGGGATGTTATTCTGCTCCTTGTTCTCATTTTTTACACAATAACTTCATTACAAGATTTGACTGTGATCCTTTCTGTTACTCTTTCTTACGTGAAATTAGTTTTCCTGAACATTTAGGAGGAAGAGGTGAGGCAGAATAGCTTCTCTAAATTCAAGGCTTTACAGCTTCCTTTTCTGTTTCCATGACATGTTCAAAAATACAGCTTCATCTTTCTGACATTGCTCTGTTCCCCTCCCCGACTCTCATCTGGACTTCTCTTTCCTTTGCCCCAAATATCACTGGCCTGCTCTGTTTGCGTTTTGCTTTCTGGTGCCTGGTTACTCCAGCTTCTTCAGACCTTGCTGCGGATCCCTTGCATGCATGTGCTGCACACTGGGTATTACGAAACTCTAGTTCCAGCTGCTGTTCTCCTATTAGCCCATTACACTTTCCAGGGAGTACCTATAGGCTGTTTTGGAGTGCTCTTATTTTCCAATTTCGCAGACACTCTGTTGCTTTCCTGTGCTTCTTTCTATAAAAATGCTGATACCGTGTAAGTCTTGGCACTGCCAGAAGATTCTCTCTGCTTGAATTTTTGTGTTTGTGTGGATACCTTTTCACCTTTTGTTGTAGATGCCGATTTGTTTTTGATTTTGCTATCTCAGATGCCCTCTTTTTATGAGAGAATTCAGAGAGCTTCAAAAAGTATACTAGTGCCACTGCCATTTTCCCAAAATTCATTTCTCTCAATTCTTTGTATGATACCAACCAATTATATCAACCTGATAATGGACAAACCACCATCAACTTTTGTAAAAGCAGGAGCTCCAAGATGTACTAACTATCTGTCTAAAACCCATTCTCTCTTCCTTCCTTACCAACAGCATTCTGGTTCATTCAGGGTGACAGTGTGCCCAGCTAAAGAGCATTTCCCAGCCTCCCTTGTAGCTAGGGCTAACCATGGGATACAGTTCTAACCAATAAGACATGACCTTTTTCTCTGGAGAAAGCTCATTACAAGGCAGGCCAACTCCACTGGTCAACCCTCTTTTACCCTTTCCCTTCCTGCTGCCTGTCGAGATCTGAGTTGAGCTGGAAACAGCTGAGCTGCCAAGACTTGGAGTAGAGTTAAGACAAGTGAAAATGAAGTAACAGCAAGCCTTTCATCACTTACTGTGATGGTATAAGCAAGAGGCTAACCAGGAGAGAGCACTGGCTCCCCTAATGTTCCATTTCCCACCATGGACCAGTGCCAGGCAAGGGTCAAGTGCATCAGTGCAAACGGGGGGATGGTCTCACTGCCAACTGATCTCTAAACAAAAGGCTCCTGCCATTTCACAGGCCTGGGGGCTGAGAGGAGGAAGAGGGGGAAGAGCTAGGAGTAGAAAAGTACTGAGCCTTGGGAGGGAAAAAAATATCTTCAAGTTCCCCGGTCCCCTACAGATAAATCGGTCTCTGCAGAGGCACCTGAAAAAGGCTACGGCTAGGAGGCATCCAAATGGAGGACCCTGGGCATGAAACGCAAATATGCATAAGAGTATCCTTGACTGTAGTCCCTTCAGAGACACATGGCACTCACTGGGCACCCAGTCTGGTGTGGGCAGGCAGCTTTTCCCAAGAGGCCTGTTGGGTAAGGCTCTTGTCAGGCCTGAAAGATCAGGCACAGACTTTTGGCCTAGAGCCACATACCATACCACCTACTCTTTGCTGGAGGTAACACAGGCATCTTGGGAGTAGATGACAAATTCGTGCTAAGGACTGCTGGGCAGAAGAAAAATAAAAAGAGATGGCATCATGGAGCAGCCATGTTAACCTCAGACTATCTCTAAATTTCTATTTACATAGGAAAGACAAAGTGGTAAATTTATTTAAGCTACTGCTTCTCAGGGTTCTTTTACAGCGGAATGTAATTTGTAAGAGCTGCATGGAGGTCCCAAGGGCAGTGGCTCCCAAATGGTGGTGCCGGTTGGTTCATGGCCTTGGCTAGGCGAGAAAAAATTAACAGTTTTTCATAAAGCTCAACTTACCAAGTTTTTAGTGATATTGCCCTTCCAGATTATTTGATATTATAATGTCCTTTCTTCTATAAAGATAATGGTGCTGACAATGCTGTGTCTAAAATCCTTACTCAAAAATTAAATCCTGGCCACTTTATTATAGAATCTCTAAACATATTTTTGGAAAAATTGATCAGTGATACCAACTTAAAAGTACTTAGGAGCTTGTAGTCCTAGCAACTTGGGAAGCTGAGGTGGGAGGATCCCTTGAGCCCAGGGGTTTGAGCCCAGTGGACTATGATGGCTCCACTGCACTCCAGCGTAAGAGACAGAGTAAGACAAAAAGAAAAAAAGAAAAAAAAAAACTTAGAAGACTCAAGGGGGGGACACAAAACAGTTGTCTTCAAATATCTGAAGGGAATAAGGCTCAGACTTGTTCTGTTAGGCCCAAGGGCAGAGCTAAGACCACCCAGTGATGGCTGCAGAGGCACTTCTGACAGAACAGGCCACTGAAGGAGGAAACGTTGCCTGGAGAAAGACGGACGCCGGCAGCCACTGAGCAGTGATCACTGGACTGTGAGATCCAGAACAGGGAGCTTGTCTGTTCTGTTCACTGTTCTAGCCTCAGTACCTACAATACTACCCAGCACATAGTAGGTGCTCAGAATATATTCAGCATCTGATGGGAGGTTCGCCAAGGTGATGTTAAGCTCATTGTGGCCTAATTTGTGTGTCTTCCTTTACCTGCATGGTCAACCTTTTAAGTCCAAATGTGTCTTTGTAGCTATCTCAGAAATACATAGGGAACTCTGTCTGAAAGAGCATGATATGGTTTGGCTCTGTGTCCCCACCCAAATCTCATCTTGAATTGTACTCCCATAATTTCCACATGTTGTGGTAGGGACCTGGTGGGAGATAATTTGATTCGTGGGGGCGGTTTCCCCCATACTCTTCTCATGATAGTGAATAAGTCTCACGAGATCTGATGGTTTTATCAGTATTTCCGCTTTTGCATCCTCCTCATTTTCTCTTGCCACCACCATGTAAGAAGTGCCTTTTGCCTCCTGCCATGATCCTGAGGCCTCCACAGCCATGTGGAACTGTAAGTCCAATTAAACCTCTTTTTCTTCCCAGTCTTGGGTATGTCTTTATCAGCAGCATGGAAACAGACTAATACAGAGAACAACAGAAACAGTAGGGGATCAGCAATCCTGACCATCAGAAGCTCAGCCTTCCAGATCATATGCATTTTGAACAAAAAGTATGTTAAAGCTATCTTTGCAGTGTCACTGGTTTCTCTCTTTAATGCACACTAGCCAAGAAGTCAAAGTACCCTAAGAGAATTTTCTGAAATTTGTCAAAATGGGATGTAAATGAACTCTTTTTTTTTTTTTTTAAGAAAAGGTGTCACTTTGTCACCTAGGCGGGAGGGGCTCACTGCAGCCTCAACCTCCAGGCTCAGCCTCTCGAGGATGCTTAACATCACCTTGGCAAACCTCCCACCTTAGCCTCTCGAGTAGCTGGGACTACAGGCATGCGCCACTATGCCCAGCTAATTTTTTGTATTTTTTTTGTAGACTGGGTTTCACCATGTTGCCCAGGCTGGTCTCAACTCTTGGGCTCAAGCAATCTACCCACCTTAGCCTCCCAAAGTGCTAGGATTACAGGCGTGAGCCACAACTTCTGGCCAAATGTGTTCTTTAAAACTGATACTCCATTCTTATAGGAGGAAACATACAGATGTCCCGTTTTAACCCACACATCATAACACCGAGCACATTCAATCCGATTCCCAGCAGCCTCCAGTACAGACAAACCATCAAGGAAAAACTTAAGGTCAAAGTCACAAAATGCAGTCACAGACATCATGTGAGGTATTTATTTTGCAACCATTTAGTTCAGCTGTCCAGTATCAGGTTACCAAAGACAAATTTTCAAGCTCCCGGTTAATCTCCACCAAAGTTTCTACTGTTCGGTTACTTCAGGATGGCTAGCATTTGGAGAGAAGAGGATCCCCCAGGTAGTCTGTACATAATTCAGAGAGAGGACATCAGAATTTAGCATGGGTCTGTTTCGGGTATTAAGGTACCACAGTGAAGCATGTCATTTGACTGTGGGTGGCAAAGGGACGGCACTGAGCATGCCTAACCCATTCCCCGGCATTTCAGTCCAATCAGCACATGCTCACAATGACCATCCATGTGTGAAAAAGAAGAGCTGAAAGACACATGTGCTGAGCAACATTTAATTTCTGCTTGTTAAACGGGTGATTAGGCACCAGTATGGCCCCATCCAGACACTGGGAGTTTGTGCCACTCCATCAGTTCTGCTGGCTCTGCTCATTCTGCTTTCCTGCAGTGGATGCCACTTCCCAAAGAACCATGCTCCAAAAAACAAAAGAGAACTGAAAAACAAAACGGGACACTTTCAAGATAAAGAACCCCCACAAAAGGAAAGAGCCACATTGTAGAAAAGGATATTCATGTATGTTTAGAGGTATAACTCCAACACCAGAGCAGTCTGCTGCCACCAATTCCCCAAATCTTGAGCCTTGAGTCTGATTTTGATGCTCAAAGTAGAGCTTACTGTTGGAAGAAAGATGATGCTTTAAAAAGTTTTCTTCTATTTCCTTGGAAACCCAGTGACTCTCTCCAAGTCAGATCCCAAAGCTACCTTTGCCCATCCTTCTCTCTCTCTCTTCTCCATGACAGCACTGTGTTAAGCACTAGAGGAGAAAAGGTAAGAGTGGATATGGAGGGACTTAAAGATCTGGGACCTGGAAAACCATGGTAGTTGAAATGTAAGGTTATACAGGAGATAATGGCAGGATATGAGGCAGGTCAAATAAATCAGGGATAGATTGTGGCAATACAGGGGGTTTCAAGTTTGTTCTTTGGGCAATAGGGGACCAAAAAAAAATTTCTAAGTAGGGAAGTGACATAGTCAAAGGCGTGGTCAGAAATATAAATTTTCAGGCGTGGTCAGAATTATAAATTTTCAAAGACCCCTGTGGCTGTGTATAGGATGAACTGGAAGGAGAAAAAGAAAAGAAGTGGAGAAAGCCATCATGTTACTGCTACGGTTCAAATATGAAATGATCGGTCGTGAAGGCTAGGTATGGTAACGACAGGACAGAGATGAGAAACACTTCAGAGGTAGAAAAGACAAGTCTTGCTGACTGATACTATGTGGAAGGTGAGTGGGGGAAATCTACAATCTACTTTGATGCTGAGGTTTCTATCTTGGGTGACTGGATGGATTTCTTAATTAATCCAACAAATATTGAGGACCCACGTGTCAGGTACTGGGTATGGTGATGAACAAGACAGACACAGTCCCAACTGTCGAGGAACCAGTCTACCAAGAGAAGCAACAGGGCAGGCAAACAAATATTGAAAATATTATTTATTTAATTACAATTTTTTTTTTTTTTTTTGAGACAGAGTCTCGCTCTGTTGCCCAGGCTGGAGGGCAGTGGTGTGATCTCGGCTCACTGCAAGCTCCGCCTCCCGGGTTCACGCCATTCTCCTGCCTCAGCCTCCCGAGTAGCTGGGACTACAGGCGCCCGCCACCACGCCCGGCTAATTTTTTGTATTTTTAGTAGAGATGGGGTTTCACTGTGTTAGCCAGGATGGTCTCGATCTCCTGACCTCATGATCCGCCCGCCTCAGCCTCCCAAAGTGCTGGGATTACAGGCGTAAGCCACCATGCCCGGCCTTAATTACAATCTTAACTTGCCAGGCGACGGTGTAATAAAGAATCTAACCTACTCTGCAGTCAGGGACAATATAAATGATGGTACCATTCCCTGAGACAGAAAAACATGAGGAGGATCTGGTTGTAGTGGGGGATGAGTACAGCTTGGAATGTAATGAATTATAGGCAACTGTTGGAATACCTAGCTGGGGATTTGCAAGAGACAGAAACTTGGAAAGAGGGGCCAGAGAGAGAGTTAAATCCAGGGGAGACTAAGGAATATGTTGGAGAATAAGTTCCTAATGCATAGCCTTCCACTTGGGAGAATGAGCTAGGCCTTCCTGGAGACATCAACAGGGCAATACCACATTCAGATGTCAGCGTTTGATGATACCACGAAGGTGAGGCTGAGGCAAGGGCTATCTGCCCAAGTCTACTGGCTCAAGAAAAGAGAAACATTGCTAACGAAATATCTGTGAAAAGTGGCTGGAGTAGGTCAGACACTGTAATTTGCAGGCGTGAAAGAACCTAAAGTCCTGATCAGCCTTTTAGTAACCATCAACTTGGGTTCTGAAATGCTAAGTAACGGTAGGGACAAACGGGCCCACAGAGCAAGCACTCAAGATTTTATTTGCATAGATATGTACTCTGTTTTTCTCTCATCTTTCTGGCTGTCTATTCCAAATTAATGTCAAAACTAGGGAAGAATTTGAAGACTAGAAAATTCCCTTCTCAGGCGGGCATGGGGATTCATGCCTGTAATCCCAGCACTTTGGGAGACGGAGGCAGGCAGATCACTTGAGGCCAGGAGTTAGAGGCCAGCCTGGCCAATATGGCAAAATGCCATCTCTACCAAAAATACAAAAAAATTAGCCAGGCATGATGATGCATTCCTGTAATCCCAGCTACTCGGGAGGCTGAGGTATGAGAATCACTTGAACCTGGGAGGTGGAGGTTGCAGTGAGCCGAGAATGCACCACTGTCCTCCAGCTTGGGCAACAGAGTGAGACTGTCTGAAAAAAGGAAAAGAAAAAAGAAATTTCCTTCTCCTGCTGCCAACTTTTAATGGGGGGCCGGAAGCAAAGACGTTGGGAATTCTTGGCACTTAGGCTAGAGGGAGAAAAGTAAGACGCTATTGCCCTTTGTGCCAAACTTGGTCCCCAGTGTCACCATCAGCCAGCATTTCCTTATCTCTTGAAGATTGCCTCTACCACCTCTTGGCCTAAGACCTGACTCTTGACCACTTTTGGCTCCCATCTTGGGTGGCTGCACTATGGCATGGGCATTCTCTGTCCCTTTCCTCGGCTCAGCCCTGCAGCCAAGCCTTCCAATGTCACCACTGTCTGATCTGGGATGTTCCAATCAGAAGTTCCTCTAATCATGATTCTCTCTTTAATGTAAAAGGGCCTTCTAGTCTGTGTGGCACATGAGATGCAAAACTGGAGTATAGAATCTGGGAGGGTAAGGACCGATCTCCGTCATTCACCAGCACACAGTAGAATTTCAATGAATGAACAAGTAAAGATTTCCCAAGTAACCTGCCACATAAACCCAGGAAAGTTTTGATGCTATATGATAGGCCTAACAACTTGTTCAAATGAAGCTTTCTCCGAGTGTCTGCTGGGTGCTAGGGGGCTATATTGGTAAATAAAGTTCTGCCCTCAAGGAACTCTCAGTCTATGAAGTTACAGTGAATAAGCAAACTGCCATAATAAAAGAACATATGAGAGCTGTAGAAGAGCACAGAAAAGAAAATAAGTAATACTACCTGGAGAAGTCAAGAAAAACTTCAGCAAGCAGAGGGTATCTGAAGAGAGTCCTGAAAAATAAACAGGAAATTGCCAAGTAGACAAGGCTTGTGAAATGAACACTCTTGACAACGTGAACGACTGAAAGGATACCAGCATACAAACCCTGTGTATCCAGTCAGGAGGGTTTAATGACACAGGACTCTCCGGAAGCCCTCTCTGCATCATTAATTAAAGCCCTGATCACACTGCGATATGATAATCTGCTGATGGCCCTCCTCTGCACAGCCCCACCTGTCAGTGCCCCTCAAAAGCTCGCCCCAATCTGGATGCTGCCTTTCAGATACTCCATCCCTCAAGCCAAAGCAGGGCTTCCCAGGTACAGTTTCCAGGCTCTACCAGGGTCTTGGCTCAGAGAAGACATAGCACTGCCCTCAGGTGAAAAGTTAATGAAGAAGGAAGGATGGAAGCCAGATATTCTTTATATTATTTCAGTAACTTACGTAGGGGTAGCATGCTGATTACAAGTACAGTCCCACACTGTATAATGATGTTTCAGTTGACAACAGACCACATATACAATAGTGGTCCCATAAGATCACATCATATTTTCACTGTACCTTTTCTATGTTTAGATACACAAACACTTACGATTGTGTTACAACTGCCTGCTGTATCCAGTATAGTAACATGCCACACAGGTTTGTAGCCTAGGAGCAATAGGCTATCCCACATAAGTGTGTTGTAGGCTATACCATCTAGGTTTAAGTATATTCTATGATATTTGCACAATGATGAAATTGCCTAATGACGCATGTCTCAGAATGTATCCCGTCATTAAGCAATGCATGACTGTAACTGGAAGCTCCCCTATGATCCTGAGGTTCCAGGGAGAGAAGGGGTTCTCCCTGGAATGTGTTCTAACCTAAGCCTTCCAATGCTCTCCTGGGAATGTGCCCTAAGCTAAGTTTTCCAATACACAGATTTACATAGGGAAGGTAGGTTACTGGTGAGATTAGAAGGAAACCTTTATTTTTCAGTGAAAGCTGGGAGTCCAGAGATGACAGTAGAAGGCACAGCCAGCTCATAAATCAGCAGCATTCAGGGCTCTGGACAGTCTCTCAGAAGCAATTGATGCTTCTGCCAGGGAGGTTGCAAAGAAGCTGTTAATCACTATCTCATTTGGAGACTTGACACCCAAATGGAGGCACTAACACCCACGTTATAGATCTGAGCAAAGCGCAGAGGTGTCAAATCTGTGTACACCAGTCTGTGAAGTCTTCAAGGTCCCTGAGGGCCAGGCTCTTCTCAGATGCTGCTCTGACTCTCTGAAGGCCTTTACAACCAAAATGAAATGAGGTAACTTAAGTCCTAGCTCAGGGCCAGGTTGAGAGAGACCTCAACATGGCGATGTCAGGTACTTTGGGCCAAAAGAGAGACCCAGGAAACTGTTGCCGTTGCGTTCTCTACCTCTGTCCCTCTCCAGCTGGGCTCGAATTGTCTTGTTCTCAGTGATGTGAGTCCACATCGTGTTATCATGTTCCCCTGTACAGCCTAGGTCTTCACCTTCCCAAAAGCCATGGGAAACAGACTGCTTTTTCCAGAACAGCTAACTGACTGTGCTCAACCTTCGTGACCCAGTTCAAACAAGAGCCCCTCTCTGACGCTTCCCTCCCGGCCAACTCCAACTGAGTCCCACCCTTCTTGACCCTATAATGCTACACTGACAACTTGGCTATGGCATTTAAAGCTTTAATAGTTCCTATATGGATTGACAACAGTATATGCAAATACTTCAAATATACATATATCACTAGTTTATGCTTGTGTACAAGAATCTAAAATGGCCTCCAATGATCCCTGCCTGTCTCCAGGCATTCATGCCTTTGTGTAATTCGCTCCCCTAGAAGGTAGGCAAGACCTGTGACTTGCTTCGAGTCAATAGAAGATGGCAAAGGTGATGACCATCTCTTCTATATTTACATTATATAGGACAGCAACTTCCATTTCACTATCAGACTCGATTGCCTCTCTCTCCCTTTCTGGTTTTGATGAAGTGAGTGATCATACAGAGAGGCCCATGTGGCAAGGAACTGAGGGTGGTCTCCAAATGACCGTCAGCAAGAAGGTCCTCATTCTACAAAGCCACAGGAATTGAATTCTGCCAGCAACCTTGTGAGTTGGGAAGCAGATATTTTCCCAGTCTAGATTTCAGGTGAGACACCAGCCCTGGCCAACATTTTGACCGCAGCCTTGGGAGAAAATCTGAAGCAGAGGAGCAATCTAAGCTATCCCCAGAGTCCTGCCCCACAGAAACTGTGAGAATGTGTATTGTGGTAATGCCACTGGGCAGCAATAGATAATTAACACAGCACGCAAACTCTCAGCTGATAAGACATGCAATCAAAGGAGTGTGGAGACTGCTACTAAACACCTTTAGACGCACAGAGGAAGGCTCCATCAAACAGCCAAAGGCTGTTAAGAACCTGCATTTTAGTGATAAAAAGAACATTCGTCTAAAAAATGGGAAAGTGAAAAACCTCAAAAATTGGCTCCCCAAGACTTAGATATGAGTCCCAGCTCTGCCTCTAAGAGATAGGTGATCTTAGTCAACCCAGATTTACTAAGCCCAGCCTTCTCATCTATACATAAAATGTGGTCAATAGGGCGAGTAAGAGTGGCTAATGAAAGAATAAACTAGAAAGTGTTTTGTCAGGCCAGGTGCGGTGGCTCACGCCTGTAATCCCAGCACTGTGGGAGGTCGAGGTGGGTGGATCACAAGGTCAGGAGTTCGAGACCAGCCTGGCCAACACAGTGAAACCCTGTCTCTACTAAAAATACAAAACATTAGCCAGGCATGGTGGCGGATGCCTGTAATCCCAGCTACTTGGGAGGCTGAGGCAGAATTGCTTGAACCTGGGAGTCAGAGGTTGCAGTGGGCCAAGACTGCACCAAGCACTCCAGCCTGGGCGACAGAGTGAGACTCCATCTCAAAAAAAAAAAAAAAAAAAAGTGGTTTGTCAAATGGAATGTGATAGACACATGTTAGTTTGCCCCAGAACTCTGGGGTGGCCTTGGGTAAGGCACTGTCCTCTCTCGGCCTCAGCTCCCTTATTGTAAAATGAGGAGGGAAGCCCATGCTATTCTATTTAATGTGTACAAGGGCTCTCACCTTCTTTGATTCTTTTATTTTTTATTTATTTTTATTTATTTTTTTTTTTTTTTGAGATGTAGTCTTGCTCTGTCGCCCAGGCTGGAGTGCAGTGTGCCGAGATCGAGCCACTGCAAGCTCTGCCTCCCAGGTTCATGCCATTCTCCTGCCTCAGTCTCCTGAGTAGCTGGGACTACAAGTGCCTGTCACCGCGCCCGGCTAATTCTTTTTGTATTTTTAGTAGAGATGGGGTTTCATCCTGTTAGCCAGGATGGCCTCCATCTCCTGACCTTGTGATTCACCCACCTTGGCCTCCCAAAGTGCTGAGATTACAGGTGTGAGCCACCGTGCCCGGCCTGACCTTCTTTGATTCTAACATCGCATACCCATGAGAAGAGAGAAAGAGGCAAAAGTGGTAGACTATGACATTTTACAATAGTTCCCCAGTCATTCTACTGGCCAGGGTGACTGTCTTACCATCAAGGAACTGGAAGCATTTGACCAGTCATATCTAGTCAACCTGCAGGGCCTACAACCTGGATTCCTCAGCTAAGAGGGAAAATCTCCATTTGTTTTACAAAAGGAAAAAAGGATCAAGGTAAAGTCAGTGGGAGCCACCGAACACAAACTACTGATGCACTCTGAGAGGAGTAGTAGCTTTGATTTTATTGCTGAGCACCTTAACTATGTGCCAGGAGCTTTTATAAAAATGATCTCCAACCTTCACTACAATCTTATATAGGTTGTGTCATTCTTATTTCAAAGACAAGTTAGCTGAGGCTCAAAGAGTTATAAGCCCCTTACTCGAGGCACATTGCTAGTACATGGTAGGGCTGGGATTTATCATTATTATTATTAGAGACAGGTTCTCTCTCTATCACGCAGGCTAGACTGCAGTGGAGCAATCACAGCTCACTTTAACCTCCATCTCCCAGGCGCAAGTGATCCTCCAACCCCAGCCTCCCAACTAGCTGGGACTACAGGGGCATGCCACCAAGACCAGCTAATTTTTTGTATTGTTTGTAGAAATGGGGTTTTGCTATATTGCCCAGGTTGGTCTCAAACTCCTGAGCTCAAGTGATTTGCTTGCCTTGGCCTCCCAGAGTGCTGGGATTACAGGCGTGAGCCACCACAGCCAGCCTGGGATTAAATTGTAATTTTATTTAATTCTAAGCCCCTGGTTTTTAGCTTGGGCAGAAAGGACAGTCTGTGATTACAAAGCAAAGTAAAGGTTCTTGGCCTGCAGCAAGATCATGTGCAGAGTGTGCTTCATTTATACTTGCCACAAACATTTACTGAGTGCCCTCTGTATACTAGGTTATGTGGTAGGCAATGAAGATACAGAGTAACACCATTCCTTGTTCTTGTGGAGCTCAGTCTAACTGGGGAGACACTGTAGTATACAGTGGACAAATGAATGAATAAATAGCTGAACAAATGAATGAATAGGCAGACAGACACATGATTAGTCAGCCATTAGTGTTTCAAGCACCATGAGAGTGATGCTTAATACAAAGTGTAATGGGATCACCAGATAAATGATAGGACCAGACAAATGGCCAGGCATGGTGGCTCACACCTGTAATACCAGCACTTTGGGGGGCCAAGGCAGGTGGATCACCTGAGGTCAGGAGTTCAAGACCAGCCTGGCCAACATGGTGAAATCCCATCTCTACTAAAAATATAAAAATTAGCCAGGCGCTAGTGGCACGCACCTGTAATCTCAGCTACTCAGGAGGCTGAGGCAGGAGAATCACCTGAACCCAGGAGATGGAGGCTGCAGTGAGCTGAGATCATGCCATTGCACTCCAGCCTGGGCAACAACAGCGAAACTCTGTCTCAAAAAAAAAAAAAAGAAAAGAAAAGAAAGAAAAAGAAAAAAATCACCAGGATTGTTATAAAATGGAACAAACCCATATTGTGCTCTAGGAAAGGGTTCAGGGAGGAGAAGAGAGTCCTCTCTGCTGGGACCAAAGGCAGGAGCTCCTCTTACAGAAGAACCTAACAGCTCATGTTATCCAACTGTATAAAGCCAGTATCATGTGGATTTCAAAATAGAGGCCTTCAATAAGAGGAACACAGAAACACAGACATGCACATGCACAAACCCACACTGAACTGGCAGAAGGATAAAAGGGTCTGGCCCTCTGTGCTTAAAGCTAACAGTAACAGAATTGATACACCTGCCCATGTTTTATGGCACCACACAGCAAAATAAAAATAGAATCTCTTACTTTCCTCATTAGCTGGACTTGGCTGCAGCAACTGTTTGGTTCAGAGTAGCTGTAGTTGTTGGGAGATGGTCCATCTCTGGTGCATCAAAAAAGTATGCCTGTGGGAAACAAAGACCCAGCAGGGAGTTAAAAAGACAATGGTCCGGGTAAGTACTTTTTAGAGTCCATGCTAACAGTACTTCTGGGCTCTCACGGTGCCTAAGTTCTTCCCACCATATTTGTCATCACACTAAACTACAACCATCTGTTTACCTTTGTCTCACTAAATTGTGAGTACTTTTAAAAATTCAGCTACCATGTATTGAGCACTTACTATATTACATGACTTACTCTTAATAACCCGATGAGGTTGTTAGGATTATCCTCATTAGACAGATAAAGAAACTAAGACTCAGAGAGACTGTCATTTGATCAGGTGAACATGGCTAATGAGTGGTGAAGCCAGAACTCAAAGCTAGGTCTGTCTGACTCCAAAGCACAAGCATTATACAGTCTTTCCTCCAGGGCAAAGGCTGTATCCTTCTTCATCTTTGTGTCACCAGCACCCCTGCACAGGGCCTGGCATACTAGGTAACCAATCAATACCGAATGAACTGAACTACATTAGCTTGCTGCTAAACTAGTTAGTTGGCTTTCTGCAAAGACCTTGAAAAGAAAGTGCTAGGCATGCTTTCCCTAAAAATTTTTCAGCTGGGAAACGAAAGGTTTGCTAAGTGCTTCCACTCACCATCTACAACTTAGCTGTCAAAAGTCAGACGGAGGTAGAGGAGGGAAGACATAAGGAGAATCTTTCCACCCATCTCAAGGTCTAGAGAAGCCTAACTTGAGCGAAGCCTAACTTGAGCCCAGGAAAATACCAATCTCACTACCCTTGAATACTGGTTGTTCAAAGGAAAGGTGAATTTGTTACTATATCAAGGCCCACCGAATATTCATGACACCACCTTGGGGTCAGTGCCCTTAGGAAGGTACACTGTTAGAAAGCCAACAACCATCTTTCACCAGCTCTGCTCTCTATCAGCCAGAAGGGGGCACCAACACAACATGCTGGAGCTCTACCCTATCTGTTGCTATTCCGTGTTAACTTTCTGAAGTTTCCAGATGATGCCTTTCTCTGCAGACTCCCTCTAGTTTGCCCCATTCCCAGAGTAACTCTATTACTTTTAAGAAGCTTCCTCCCTAGGAACCCTTCCAGCAGCTGTTTTCTGAGGCAAGAAAAGAAGAGTCCCTAACTTAAGTGGGGGATAGGGCCGCAGTGCTAGTGCTGGGCTCCTCCAGTTCTCCCACAGGTGCACTGTGCCACAGGCCCCCAGGATGCAGGAACAAAGTCTTCCTTCCAGGTTACCACAGGACACCCTTGTAAGACAGAATGAGCAAAGACGCCCAGGTTCTACACCTGGCTCTGCTATTAGCTCACACTGTGACTTTGGACAAGTTGCTCCACCCACTTCAGCCTCAGCTTTCTGATCTATAAAATTTAAGGATTAGAAAAGATGATCTTGGGGCTGGGCGTGGTGGCTCCAGAGAGAGAGAGAGAGAGAGATTGGGTGTGGTGGAAAGAGAGAGGGAAAGAGAGAAAGAGAGGGAGAGAAAGAGAGAGAAGGCAGGGAAGGAAGGAAGGAAGGAAAGAAGGAAGGAAGGAAGGAAGGAAGGAAGGAAGGAAGGAAGGAAGGAAGGAAGGCAGGCAGGCAGGCAGGCAGGCAAGTAAATAAGATCTCAGCTGGATGTGGTGGCTCACACCTGTAATCCCAGCATTTTGGGGGGCCAAGGAAGGTGGATCATTTGAGGCCAGGAGTTCAAGACCAGCACGGCCAACATGGCAATAGCCCACCTCTACTAAAAATACAAAAATTAGCCAGGCGTGGTGGCACATGCCTGTCATTCCAGCTACTCAGGAGGTTGAGGGGCAAGAATTGCTTGAGCCCAGGAGGCGGAGGTTGCCGTAAGCCTAGATCACACTGCTGCACTCCAGCCTGGGTGACAGAGGGAAACCCTGACTCGAAAAAGAAAAGATGATCTCTTAGGACCATTCCTTGAACAATCTTGAATTCTATGATTCATTAATTCCACAAATGCTTAATAATAATCACAGCCATCATTTGGGGAATGCCTACTGTGCACCAGACACACACTTGATCATTAATCTGCTCAAAAAATGCTATAACAGGCCATTTTATCCCTTTTAAAGATGAGAAAGCTGAGACTCAAAACAGATGGAATTTTCCCAAGACTAGACAACTATGTGTCTGAGCTAGGATTTCAATCCAGTTGAGTCCATCTCCATAGTCTGTGCTCTTCTAATTCTCCACCACTTCCTGCGATTTGTTGCCTAGTCTATGTCCAGTCCAGATCTAGGCACCATGGAGACCTCGAAGCTGAATCAGCAGGCTCTCTGTGAGTAGAGGCAGGGCACAGTTCTCTGTAAAAGCCGGCAGTAACCACCTCAAACTTAGGCTTATACATCTCCCAACATACACCAGGGGTGCAGCCTCTAGGTGCTTCCTTAGTCATCTCTGCCAGGTGTGTTCTGGTATAACTTAGACATCATTTACATGTGCAATCACCGAGGGGCCCCTGGCAGGTGTGGGGCTGTTATATGCTTCACTGCACTAAGGCAAAAACACCAATCTGTGTTCCCCAGGGGAGAGTGAGCAAGCCAAGCTGTCTGGTTCAGCCGGTACCCCTCAGCTCAAATAACTCCCCTGCCAGTTCCTCCCTCTGCCTTAACAATAATGTCTTCCATTTACATGACTCATCATATTTTCCATGCTGCATATATCATTCAATCCTTGCAACAGTAAAGACGTTGCCATGGCATGCACGATTGGCCCGTTTCTAAGTGAGGGCAGGAATCCAGAGAAGGGAAATCACCCAAGCAGGCGGTAGTGGAGCTGGGACTGGAACCCAAGTTTCCTAACTTCTGGCTCAGTCCTTCTGCAGTAAACAACGCCTCCAGAAGAAAAAGGAGGGGCTGGTCACTGTGGAGAACAAAACGCAGGCATGGTGGGCCCCTGGCTAGACACCTGACCACAGGATGGTTCCCTTCCTCCAGAAGGAGAAAACTGTGCCTTCCGCTCCAGGAAGAGGTCCTGCACCCCACAAGGACGTCCCTGCTCCACAGTCCAACCCGTCCTGCTCCTCTGAGTCCCTTACAGACTGAACAGCCTCTTCTCCTGCCTCTTCATCTCCACTGCTTTCTCATCCAGGTGTGTAATGGGTAAAAAGTTCAGGAGAGATGAGAAGATGTCAGTGAGAGGCATCAAGGAAGGGCATTGTCATTAAGAGTGGGAGACTTCAGCTTTGGCCCCAGTACTAGTTGTGGGACCTTGGACCACTCTCACTTGGGTGCTGTGGAGGAATAAGCAGCATACTGGCCCTGGCCACGTCTGACAACACAGGCTCCTTTAATGACTTTGCATCTGAGGAACACTTCACAGTATGTGGAGGGCTTTCACAGCCAGCTCACGGCATCTCACAAAACCCCATGAAAACAACAATCCCTTTCACAGATGAGGAAACCAAGGTTCTGAGAAGCAAGTCTGTTGCCTATGTTTGCAGCGCTGAGCACCTCTCAGTCCAAGGCACTCCCTGCTTCAGAATTATACTCTCTTTCAGAAAGTTCCTGAGCAGCAAGATGGGCAGGTAAATCCTGGGTTCAGCGCCTTCTGCCCCGAAACGGAACAATAGGCACAGGAGGTAAAAGGTCCTGCCATAGGTACTAGATGAAATGGGTTCTTTTTTTGTTTTTTGTTTTTTTTTTGAGATGAAGTCTCGCTCTGTCACCCAGGCTGGGGTGCAGTGGCGCAATCTCAGTTCACTGCAACCTCCACCTCCTGGGCTCAAGCGATTCTCACACCTCAGCCTCCCTGGTAGCTGAGACTACAAGCACATGCCACCATACCTGGCTGATTTTTTTATATTTTTGGTAAAGACAGGGTTTAACCATGTTGCCCAGGCTGGTCTCAAACTCCTGAGCTCAAGCAATCTGCCTGCGACTTCCTCCCAAAGTGCCGGGATTATGGGCGTGAGCCACCAATCCTGGCCTGAAATGGGTTCTTAATAATAACCATAATACCTCCCTGCTCCACTGCTCAACCTGCCCTGCTCCTATTCCTTAGAGAAATGAGAAAGGCAATGCTTCCTCTCCTGCCTCCTTCTCCTCACCAACCTCTCATCCATGTACATGAGCGGAAGAACTTCAGAAGAGAGACGGGAGATGCCAGTGAGGGACAAGAGATGCCGGTGAGAGTTGGTCACAATGAAAAGGATGTTCTTCAGCAGACAGAAAAGTTCCAGAAGAATCACGGCAGCATTTTAACTGATCAACTCAGAGATTCCAAGTGCCAGAAATGAATAGTGTCATTCTGCCATGAGTCAAACCAACAGGCCCGCCTCAAGGGTTTAAAGCTTACGCACATGTAAAGTGCATGTGAACTAGGTTTGTGTTTCACAACTTGGCACTTTTTATGAAACTTGTTTAATGATAAAGCATTGGGATCTCATTGATGCATTTAATGAGACAGGTTATCTACACAAAAATGTTAAAAATCAAATGATGCCAAAGAAACATTTACTCCTAAAATTGCAAAACATGACCAAGGGTTTGGAAACCTGCCATGTGGACAATTTTCTAAGTGCTATAAGACACCTTCCCATGGCCATGTCCTTTCCTTCATTAGCAACCTTAACATTCTTGGACTCGGATTTTTTTTTTCAAAACCTGCACCAGGGCTTGTTAAGGCCGTGGACAGCAAATTTTGTGTACAATGCATACGGAAGACACAGAACCATGTCTCCTTAGGATCAAAGGAAAGGGACCTAATTTATGGGCATTTATAGGACAAGTTCCATGTTAAGTGCTTTACAGATATCATTTTATTTGGCTCTCAGAACAATCTTGTGGCAGGAAATATACCCATGTCACAGATTAAGAAATTAAGATTCAGAGAGGAACAATAACATCTCCAAGTTCACACAGCCAATGAGTGACAGAGCTGGTCTTCAATCTGTGCTAATCTGACTCAAAAGCACATGCTCTCCCTAAAAAGAATCTACATATGAACCCAAACACTATTTTAAATGTTGTTCACCTTAAAAGTAACTCCACTTTCCCATATCTGACTTCATTTTCAAGCTTTCTACCTTCAAATTTAAAACTTTTAATTTCTACCTTTAAATTTAAACTTTAAACTTTCTACATTTAAATAAAACTTTAAATTTCAAAAATCTTTCTAGGTATATGCAGAAAATCAGCAAAGGCATCCAAAAACAGAATCCCCCACCCTAGCTCCCTAACCCTATATAGTCAGCCCTCCACACCCACAGGCTCGGCATCCTCAGGCTCAACCATCCATGATGAAAAATATTTTTTAAAAATATATAAGTAAAAAAACCCAATATGACAATAAAAATAACACATATTTTAAAAAACAATGTAATAACTATTTACATAACATTTACATTGCACTAGGTATTATGAGTAATCTGGAAATGATGTAAAGCACATAGGAGGATGTGTGTACACCATTTTGATATAGGGAACTTGAGCATCCATGCTTTGGTATTCACAGAGGGTCCTGGAACCAACCACACCCCCACAACCCCAATACTGAGGAACAAATGTACATAGACACTCATCCATCTCTATTTGCTCTGGTCAGACCCCAAATTCTGATCAGATTACTGAAATTAGGCAAAACCAAAGACTAAAGCCAAATTCTCATAATTTCACCACTTTCCATGTAGATGAGTCTACTTAAAATGAAATTTTATTTCACAGAATCAATTTTTTTTTTTTTTTTTGAGACAGGGTCTCCCTCGGTCACCCAGGCCAGAGTGCAGTGGTGTGATCTCAGCTGCCTGCAACCTCCACCTCCTGGGCTCAAGCGATCCTCCCACCTCAGCCTCCCAAGTACCAGCTACTTGCAAGGCTGAGGTGGGAGGATCGCTTAAGCCACCACGCCCAGCTAATTCTTGTATTTTTAGTAGAGACGGGGTTTCACCATGTTGCCCAGACTGGTCCTAAGCTCCTGAGCTCGAGAGATCCACCCACTTGGACCTCCCAAAATATTGGGATTACAGGCATAAGCCAATGTGCCCAGCCCATGGAGTCAATTTTAAAAGAACTGTTGTGTCTAACAGTTTGAGGTCTTTTAGCATTTGGATATAAAACACACCAAAAGAATATAGGAATGAACCCATACCAAGCAGCCCACAGAAAGCAGCATATGAAGCAACACAATTGTCACAATTGTGGCCAATGCAACCCGTCGGTTATCCTCACGAACAGCTGGCCAAAATGTCATTGACAAGACAGATCCTGAGATGCCCAGGGCAATCATGACTAGAATCCAACGAACAGCTTTCTGGGGGATAATCCACAGTATCTGAAAGAAGAGAAAAGGAGGAGGGGGGAGGTCTTGGGAGGCATTCGTTCATTCCAGGCACATATGTTTACAAAGGCCCCTGAGCCAATCGGCAGCTGGGCCCCCACTGCCACCCTGGTTTTTCAGTATAGGCTGGAGGAACACCACCAGCATGTAGACTGAGGCATAGACTTTCATAACAAAGGGCCCAAGATCCAGTGAAGGCATTTGGCTCCCCAGACCCCTTTCATGCTGAACTTCTAAATTCAAAGGAGATTTTTCAGGAGCACATGAGTGTTGCACTGGAAATAATGATGTTAGGTCAAATTCTTGGTTGAAGTTTCCACCAAGAACAGGGCATCACTCAGAATCTGCTCCCTGGCCGGGCGCAGTGGCTCAAGCCTGTAATCCCAGCACTTTGGGAGGCCGAGACGGGCGGATCACGAGGTCAGGAGATCGAGACCATCCTG